TTATAATAGTGTGAAAAAAGGGGTTCATATTGTCAAAAAAAACCCAAATTTTGGTAAGTTACAGACTGTCCATTGACCTTCTTAAATGTAACAACACCCACACCCTGTAGTTACTGTAGGTGTCACAGGTGAGATGAGTAAAGGTGTCTGTCATACAGTAGCTACAGTCATTTTTGAGGAGCGTGGTCAGCAGGTAACTAATGCATACAGCTAATTTGTGTGTGCACACGTATCTCAGACTCACTGTCTCTGTGGGGTTTGCTTTGCCTCCTTCCTTTGAAAACCAGAAGCTTTTTTGCTATGACAGGACATCTCCAGAGCTGGACTCTGAGGTGTCACTCACTCTCCTGGAGACACCTTTGTGTCTTCCTCTGCCTGTTTCAATAAACAGAGTTGTCCCACAGTAGTAAGAACACAAACACTTGGCTCGTTCTGAGGGGTGATGGCTTTAGTACTGGAGCTGCATCCAGAGGGAAGGACCAGTCCAGTAAAGAAACCCTTTTTATTTTCCTGTGATTGGTTCTTCCTGTATAATCACTAAATACGGCAGAACAGAGCTGGTGAGGTGGCTGCTTCAGCTTTTCTTAGGCTCCCTGTTTGCCAGGGTCCCCCTCGGGGAAGCACTCACCTAAGGAAAAGGACACAGTGTAAAGTAGAAGCACAAAGTGTTTTCTGCCAATTGCTTTGTCTTGAGGTTGGTATTTTATATATTCAGAGTCTGTAATTTATTTTGGAAGGTTTTTTCAGTAACAAACTTAAAGTAACTGTTTAGTTGGGGAACTTTAACTTCCCCAGGTGTAAAATTAGTGTCTTTGTAAGTGACAGGCTCCTCCCCAGCGTTACCCCCAGCACGAGTTTCCCAGAAGCCAGGCTTCCTGCCAAGGAATTTCCATCTATTTACTTTTGGGTAGTTCTGTGCTTAACAAAGCCCAGACTGGGAGCTGTGTGTGTGTGTTATCATCCTGCCACAGCCTCGGGCTTCGCTTTGGAGGAGAGGGTCAGGTTTAACTGGGAGTCTGGGTGCTGGAGTACCTGGAACCTTCCCATCCCATCTTCTGGTTTTGGGGGGAATAACGTCCCCTATCATATGTTTAAGGTACGTGTGGTGGAGTGTATGAAATCCTGAGAGAGCTGCTCTCATCAAGGGCTTGTTTGCACAAAAGGGAAGATGTTTCCAGTAGCCTTGATTTAGTTAAGTGTGCATAAATAATTAGTGCTGAGATACTCTGCAATAAAGATGTCCTCTTTGAATTATTTGGTATCAGTGCAAAGATAAAGCACCAAAGCAATTTATTTTCCTCTAAGAGAGTTCCCTGGAGTTGTAAACTGCAGAAATAGGTGTGTATATTGGGATGCTCCTTCTGACCCCCAGAAAAAAACAAACAAAAGCCTGCCCAGTGTATTAACCATGTTCTATTGCTGTTGGAAAAACCCAAACCACACAAAATCTGTGAGCAGAGGAGGCAGTGTTGAGCGGAGCCGGGAGCGCGGCGTGTGGTGGCACAGCAGGCTGAGGAGCCAGCCCTGGGACAGTGCTGTCTCACCTCCCCGGGAACGTTCCTGTGGTGACACTGAGCTCACCTCCCCATCCCTGTCCCCCCTGCCTTGTTCTGCTGGCGGGGCTGTGGGTGGGCTCCCAGCAGCACCATCCCTTTGGTTCAACATCTTCAGTCCTGCTGGAGAGCTCCAGGGCAGCCTGAGCCCAAGGGCCAGCAGTGACGCTGCCCTGGGAGGGACCTGCTGTGTCCACCTGGCTTTGTCACCTCAGCTTTGCAAGAGCCGCCCTCACACGCTGTCCCTGTGGGGAAGGGGTTCCTCCATCAGCACCTGGAATCCTTCCCACCTACCCCGTGAAGTCTCCCAAACACAACCATGACATGTGTTAGTGTCCTGCACTCCCCTGAGGACCTTTCCATCAGGGACAGGCTGCTCCTCCTCTGGGATCCTGCACCGGCACGTACTCGGTTTTCCAGCCTGTGAAGGACAGGGCAGGGGTAAGGCAGCAAGCTCTGCACAGCAGGAACGAGAGAGCTATTTAAGAAGTGGGTGTAACAAACTCTTAATTAGATACGAGCTGGAATAATGCTGCTCCAGATTCAAGTCAGCTTCTTGGAACGTGGAGGGGAAGCGGAATCCCTTACAAGTGCCAATTAACTGGAGCGAGCTGGGGAAGAACTCTGGCGTCTTCCTTGCTTGGATCAGCACCTTGCACTGAAATACCCAGGCCTCTGCCAGTGATTTTATTTTGCCACACCAGTAGCAACTCTTGGGAATTAATGAATAAGTGACCACCTGCGTTACTCTTGTGAGGTGGAAATCACAAAAGTCAGGGTTTGTGGTTTTTAAGCTTACCCACGATGGGTAACACTGACACTACACGTGGTTTTTGTGTAAACTGGGTCTTGTAAAACGTAATCTCTCAAGCTTGCAAGTGGAGTTGAAACAGGCAACTAAAATTAGATTCCTGTGAGACTTCTTGGCTTTGACCTGTGGTGTGTGTGTCACGTGGATCAGCAAGGAGCTCCCCATCAGTTTTAGAGCATTGATCACACAGAGACCATCTGCTTGAAGTTCCAGTGGCATTAGGACAAGAATATTGTTCCCGTATAATCTGGACACGGAGCTACTGGAGCCAGTGCAGAGGAGGCCACCAGGATGATGCGAGGGCTGGAGCAGCTCTGCTGTGAGGACAGGCTGAGAGAGTTGGGGCTGTTCAGCCTGGAGAAGAGAAGGCTCCAGGGAAACCTTCTAGTGGCCTCCCAGTACCTGAAGGGGCTCCAGGAAGGCTGGGGAGGGACTTTGGCCAAGGGCAGGGAGTGACAGAACAAGGGGTGATGGCTTGAAAGTGTCAGAGGGGAGATGGAGCTGAGATGTGAGGAAGAAATTGTTTGGTGTGAGGGTGGTGAGCCAGTGTCCCAGGTTGGCCAGAGAAGCTGTGGCTGCTCCTCCCTGGAAGTGTTCAAGGCCAGGCTGGATGAGGCTTTGAGCAACCTGGTCTAGTGGAAGGTGTCCCTGCTGATGGCAGGGGGGTTGGGACTGGATGAGCTTTAAGGTCCCTTCAAACCCAAACCAGTCTGGGATTCTGGGATTCTAGGAAGATCCACTGGAGCTGATGGCTGCTGGAGAACACGAAGTGATTTCTTAGTGGGAAGAGTCTTTTGACAGCTGCTTTGCAGCCGTCACTGATCAGAAACTAGTGAAAAGTGTTGTCCTGTGACTGTTGGAGGTTGGTCTCCTGCCCAGAGCTGGGCCGCCTGTTCTCCTCTGTCCCCTCGCTGCTGCTCCCCAGCACAGCTCCCGTGCTGGCAGCGGGTCCCGCTGGTTTTCACTGGTGTGTCACAGCTCCACGTGCAGCCACTCAAACGCTGTTCCCAGCACAGGGGAGCGGCCACGCTGGTGTGGGGAGCAGCGGGGATGTTGGGAGGGAGGGGTTTCCATGGTGGTGGCAGCGTGTTCTGGTTTAAAATGGTTTCAGAGGAGATGTTTCCAGCGGTGGCTGTGCCACACGCACCCCCGATGACATTCCAGTGTGTGTAACACAGGAAATGGCAACAAACTGGTGTGTTGCTGTGGGTGTTGATCTGATTCTTTGTGATCTTGCTGTTGTAACTGTATTACCATGAGCCTTCTGCACCTTTGAATGAAAGCTGCTTTTTTCTGGTCCTGAGACGTCTCTGTCAGCTCCCAAAAGCCGCCTCCTCTCAGGACTGCCCCCCGCTCCCTCGCTCCAGGGACAGGCTGCACGGAACCTGCTGCTCTTGTTACCTACACAAGTCTAAAGTATCTGCAAGAGAATCTTAATTAAAACTTATTTTGCAGGATAACTGGGATGATGAGGAGGAAGAGGAGGAAGTAAAGGAGACAGAGGTAAAACAAGGTAAGACTTAAAGGGAACGGGCAGCTCTGTGAGCAGCGTCAGCACAGACGTATGTCTGGAGAATCAAAACCGCTTCCCAGTGAGTCGGGTTTGGGTTTGACAGAGCATCTCTCAACTCTCATGTGTCCAGGTTCCAGTAGTGGAGCTCTGTGGGTTTCTCTTTCATTGGTGTTTTTGTAATTGCTGGGGAAAAAAACCAAGTAACTCGGTAGACCTCTGGAGCGCTGTGCTGTTTGATGTTTTACAGAACCCAAAGTTTCAGAAAAAAAGAAAATAGCAGAAAAAATAAAAGAAAAAGAAAAGCTACAGAAGAAAAAGCAAGAGGAGCTTAAAAAAAGGGTAACTCCTTTTTTCTTCCAGGTCTCCTAAAATTTAGGGGGCAAGTTTGATGTGCTGGGTTGGTTGGGTTTTTTTGGTTTGGTTTGTTTTTTTCCTGGAGGGGGTTTTTTTTTTTTGAGGTTGAACAAGACCTGTAAAGATCTTGACTAATCTGCTAAAGCAAACTGAAATCTTGTGCTCAATAACATCTGGGGGATGTTGGCTTTAATTTAATCTGTGATGTAGCCAGGTTATTGGAATAATGCTTATTGCTGCTTCTTCTGTGTGCGCCGGGTGATGAAACACGCGGTGTTTTAAAACTCGAGGTGTTTCTTCCCACTCGTTGTACAACGACCAAGTTACTGACCCGTGTGGCCTTGTTACACCTCGTGGGGGTGGTTTTCAGGTTTGTGTGTACTCGAGGTGCAGTGACTTCAGGCAGAAATCAGCTGTTCAAGTGGCACTTGGGAAAAAAAACACCATTTCTTGTCCTGCCTCTGCTCAAGGGTAAGAAATAACAACATTCTCCCTGTGTAATTCAGCTAGAGGCACCGGAGGAGCAAAAAGAACTGACACCAGAAGAACAGTTAGCAGACAAACTACGGCTAAAGAAATTGCAAGAGGAGTCAGACCTTGAGTTAGCAAAAGAAACATTTGGTAAGTGTGCTGAGCCCCAGTCAGGCAGGTCGATGACGTTGTAGCGTCACAGGAGCGCTGCATCCGTCCCGTAAACCGAAGCGTGTTACGTGTGGGTACCCGGCAAGAGGAGCCGCGCGGGATCGCGCCGCCGGAGCACGTGCGGGTTGTGGCACTGAGAGTAACAAAGGGTTTAAATTCAGGCTGCTGGGGGCGTGTCCTGGTCGTAAGGACTGATTGCAGGAACCACAAAACCAGCTTTAGAACAGACGGTGCTTTTTCTTAACGTGTCTTGGGAGGAGGTTGTAGGAAAAGGGCAGCTGGCTGAATATCCCAGCGTGTTGCTATTTAGGGTAAGAAGATGAGCGTGTAAAAATTCAAAAGTGCTGCCTCTTAATGTTCTGAGGTGCTTCACAACACGGGTTCAGTGAGGCTTTGGACGTGTCACTCCCTCCTGCTTTACTCCAGGCGCTCTGGGTAATAAGCTGGAGGTTGCAGCAGCCGGTTCAGTCGGTGGAATCAGCTCGTTTCCTGGCGCAGACAAAGGAGACTTGCAGCAAATCGTTCTGGTTTTGTGCTTTGACAGGACTAGCAAAGATGCTGATTCATAGCAGCGTTCCTCACACATGAAAGCGTGTTTCCCTGATTATGGTGGAGTGTGAAGCTTATTACTCAGTGAAAATTCGGCTCTGCGAGTTTTCTGGAAGAGCACAGTGCCCTGGGGGGGGGGCATTGAATACAGGTGCAAAGAACCCAGTAAATCGTGCACTTGGGAGCTCAAGACAGGAACTGGTTCTTTAAGGGGAGAGGGGCTTTGCAGGCAAATCTCTTTCCATACAGGTTAGTAACTGAGGCTGCCAGCTCCTGTGTGGCAGAGCCAGGGGAGGTGAGTGAGCAAGCAGACCTCAGCTTTGGTTCTGTAAAGCTTCGGTGAATGTCAGCGAGGTCACTCGTCTCCTCTGGTGTCATCTTGTAGGGATGACAGCCAGTGTTTTCTCTAACACCTCTGTCTTTCCGTGCAGGTGTAAATAACACTTGTGGAATAGATGCCATGAATCCCTCTTCAAAAGATGACTTCACGGAATTTGGCAAACTACTAAAAGAGAAAATCACACAGTATGAGAAGTCATTACATTACGCCAGTTTTTTGGAAGCATTAGTTCGAGACGTGTGTATTTCATGTAAGTAAGTTCTGTGAGTGACACCCAGAGTCCACTGCTGCCAGAACTCTCATGAGTTGAGGCTGTGCTGTTACAGTGAGTGTTCCATCGACACTGATCTCTGTAGTTTCTATAAATGAAGTACTCACCGGTTTCACTCACTAGTACCTGACTCTATTCCCACAGACTATTGCAGGTTGTGTGCTTGTACAGGAGTTACTCATTCTGCGTGTCAGTTAAAGTCAGGCATTTTAAAAAGTGGGAGTTTTTATGCTGACCTAAATCCTGCATGTTGTTCCTGAAGCCATTTCGATAATAGTAATAATAATAATTATTCTCTGAGCCAGAGAACTTGAGTAGTTCATTTGGAAGGAAACTATTAGAAAATTGAGTTCATGTAATTCTGGGACTACAAAATAAATTGTTCTGGAATTCAACACGTAACTGCACAGAGAAAAAATTAACTGGAACGTATTTTTTTCCCACCACTGTGGTTGGCTGAAGGTCTCGGTGAGTTCATTGAGATCTTTTCCTGCACTGGAGTGCAGGTGACTCGGTGCTATTGAGTGTGGTGTAGGTACAGCAATTTCTGACTGGAGCTGGTGACTCATGTTTCAAATGGATTCCAGATCTTCTCGAGTGAAGGACTCACAACCTCTTGGGTCATTGTTAGTAATTTATTGTTAATCCACTGCTCCTTTTGGTATGTTTTACTGTATCCACATTCAAATGCCTCCTCAATAAGACTTTAGTGTTCACCAACGCTTTATTTGCAAGTTTTACCTTTTACACCAGTGAAGCTGCTTCCTGGGGACTGTGTGAAGTAGCAGCTGTGATGACAAGGACCAGAATTACCCAGTCTGTTCACTGATTTAAATCCAGTCATTGCCTGTGCTTATTACTAACAGTTATTTCTAGTTGTTAGAGAATGTTGATTAGTTAGATTATTTAACTGCCTTCTAAGAACAATATTGATGAGGAAATATTTTTTTTCCCCGCCCCGATGCAGTGGAAATTGATGATTTGAAAAAGATCACAAACACTTTGACAGTACTATGCAGTGAAAAGCAAAAACAAGAAAAGGTAAGACTTGGACGTGCTTCTGCAGCTGCTAAAGGGGCTGATCCGGAAGGTGGGAATAGTCTCACACTGACTTGAGCTGCTGATGTTGTTACAGAAGTAGCAGGAGATTAAATAATAACTTGGGGTGCTGGTTTAGTGTTAAATCCTCTGTGTGAGGTAATCAGGAGTTGATTGAATCTGGAGATCACAGGCAAAACCTTGCTTAATTTACATAAACATTACTTGTGTGCTACCCTTGTTCTGTTTCACACTGTCTTGGAGTTGAAATGGTCACGGTGATGCCCTGGAGACAGAACCACCCTCGTTTAGAGTTCAGTGTAACACCCATCCAGGGAGGTCACTTACATCTGTGCTCAGGTTTGGGACTTTCAATAGCAGCTGACTGGGAGTTTTATGCTGTTGTGCAAACTAAAGGAGGAGTCACTGCATAGGCGAGGAAGAAGACGTTTTAAAAAGTGATGCAACAGCTTCATGATGCTCATGTGATGCAGAGTGCTGTGTTTTATAGCACACTTCTGTGTTTGTTAGAACTCCAGGCGGGTTGGAGTTCAATGATTGAATCATTAGATACCAACAAAATCAAGGAGAAAATACAACTAGCAGTGCAACTCCTCGGTGTGTTTGGAATCAGATTGGAGGATTATTAGGAAACAAGTGGCAGAGTGGAGTCAGTGTGAGTAGGAACTTGTAAAACGGGGAAGAAAACCTCTTGGACACAAACTGTTCCAGTGGCAGGTGATCAGTTCTGACTCCCCAGGCGTGAGCGAAGCCCCTGTGTGCCGTGTTCACGCAGTGAGCCTGGAGTCTGGCACGTGAGGAACTTTGTCCTTAATGTGAACTGAACCAAACAAGTTTAAAAAGTATGTCTAGTCCTGATTTTATACTCTTCCCTCCTGGCTTTTCATGTAAATTAGTTTGGTCAGCCACTGAAAGCTACAACCACACCGAACCAGTGAGGAAGAGTTTACTGTGAAACACCCTGTGAAGTTTGTTTAGGACTTTTATTTGTTTGCAAGAAAGATAAAAGGATAAAAGCCACATTAAATTGCTTAATTAAATTGGTAATTCCACTAAACTAAACACTAGACTCTGCATTTTCTTAGTTATTCTGCTTGTTTAGAGTCTAGGGAAAATAGGGTGAAAGTCAAAACATGGGCAGGTGTGTGATGCAGGGAGCTGTGGGACACCTGAAACTGCTGTAGCTTGATCCTGACTAGATTGTGTTGTGGGATGAAATGCAGGGGTAGAAATCATGGGCAGCACCTCAGACACGCGGCGTTCCTCTCATGAGATAATGACAAATTACTGTGGGTTTTAAAGTAAAAATGCTTTTTCTATTTAAGCAGAATAAAGCCAAAAAGAAGAAAAAAGGCGTTGTGCCCGGAGGTGGTTTAAAGGCTACTATGAAAGATGACCTGGCTGATTACGGAGGATACGATGGAGAATACGTACAAGACTTTGAAGACTTCATGTGACATTATCTCTCCCCTTTTGTTGTCTTTCTGTTGCCCATAATCCCTTAAACATGTAGCACAACTTTTCTTCCTTTAAATTCTGCCAAATGCTACAATCAGAATTGCAGTATCTCTGTGCTGGTGGTTTAACTCTTGACAGGTCCGTGCTGAAGCACTGGGCTTTGTGGTCAGAGGTTGGAATGAGGACATTAAAAAGCTCTGTAAATTGCAGTTAAAAACCCCCAAATTCTGATAATGGTAACTGTTGCTATTTGATTTTATAGTAACAGCCACTGAATTGGAAATGAATCTCAACAAGGTGAAGTAGGAGCAGCACAGTTCCGTGACATGGCCTTAACTGTACCTCCCCGAGTGACCTGTGTGATGAACTAAAGCCGTTTGCAGCGAGGGCGTGGTGTGCACTTAGTGTTACAATTGCTTTGTCTTAAGTTAGAGCTCGAGGTTCTCAGTGTATTGTGAAGGGGAACTGCTACCTTCAGAGTGAGGATCCTGCACCTGGAAACGCATCACCCGACATCCCCACTGCTTCACAACTTGCCATCAAGGGGGTGGGGCAGGGCAAGAAGTGACCTGTGTCTCCAGTGTGACGTACAGTTTCCATTCATCTAAATTTCTACTAATGCAGCTGTATGGGTTGGGTAATTCTTTAACAGTTAATTGCCTGGTTTAAGTGTAAAAAAAAAAAAAACAAACCAAGACGACTTCCTTTTGGTCTCTCTCAGGTTGTGGTTGATCCTTCACAACTCGGCCATTTTCTTTCATTTAAAAAACCCAACAACAACAAACACTTGCTTAGCAAACTGCAACAGTTACTACAGTTGGGCAAATTGTTATGTTAACAATTACAACATCTGCAATGTTTTATAAAGCAACTAATTTAATAAAAATCACTATTGAGGACTTCACTACGGCTGTCTGTGGACCAGTTCTTCTAGTACCTGCTTGGAGGGGCAGAGCTGCAGAACAGACGCGTGCTGGGTGCCTGTTCCAGGTCTGGTCTTTACTCCGCCTTGCAGCTTCCCTGGTGTCAGTGACAAGATTTCACTGATATAAAGTGGCTCATCCTTCTGATGAAACTCTTTCAGGTGCTGATGGTGAACAAAGCTCCTCCAGGATTGTTGTAATCCCAGCATTTCTGTGACAAAACTCATCGTTTCTGGTGCTGGAACTGCTGAGCTCAGTGCCTTGTAGGTACCTGGGGACTATTTGAGGGTGGCCCTTACCAGTGCAGGCAGGTATGTTATTCCACCTGGCAGCTGCTGTTCCCACAAGCAGTCAGTCCCACACTTTACCCAACAGGGATGGGATCCGTGTGTGCTTCCACAGGTACGTGTTCTTCCAGGTCCAGCCTGTTGTTAGGGGTCCCGAATTGTTAAAGGATCAGGGATGGTAACTCTTGGGACAGCTCGAGTTTCTCCTTTATACCAGGAACTTTAAAGTTCAAGTCAAAAGCTCATTAGCCATTATTTAACTTCAGACTAATCACAGCTACTTCAGTCTAATTGGGTTTTATGAGACTGACTAGAACTGGAATTTTAAATAATCTGCCCTACATGCAATGTTTTGTTTATCAAAGGAGCTGTGACTTGTACTGTGTGTGCCTGTGTCCAACTGCGCGCGCTGCCCGTGCAGATTTGAGATGGCCACTCTAAGTAAATATTTGTCATCTGCAGCACTTGCTCCCATGAAAAGGAGATTGTGAGCTACACATCCAAGGTAGCATCTCTGCTGATTAACTGGGTTGCTATGGCAACTGGATTTGGGGTAGGATCATCTTTAGTGATAACAGTACAAAATCATGGCTTAGAGCTGCCTGTGTGCTGCTGCTGGCCCCCCTCACCCCCCCCTTCCAGGCAGGAGGTGTCTCTGGATGCGCTGGAACCTCCGCAGGCTGCGTTCATTTTGGGGAGCGCACAGAGCTGAAGCTGAACCTGGGTTCCTGCCTGAAGCAGCGTCCAAATCTTCTCCCCTCCCCAGTTAAATCAGACCTGATCGTGGAAAGCCGAGTGGCAGATGCTCTGGCTGCTCGGTCCTGGAGGTTGTTGATGCCGATGCCAACGGCCCAAGGGTGGAAGGGAGTTAAAGTTTAATAACTGTACAAATACATTTGGACTTGATTACTTTTTTTACTCCCAGACAGCAGCGAATTAAGTAGATGCTGGGTAGAGTTGTACAGGACTTTCATTTCATCACCAAGTTCAAAAACAAAACCAGGTTACTCAGCCTGGAATCAAAGAAGGGATGATCCCGGCGTGCAGCTGAAACTTCCCAAGCAGTTCACTGATTCTGTTCGTCCCACTGTCTGTACTGGATATTCTGCACGTTGTCGCAGCCTTTTTGTGGGGTTTAGATACAATTCTGGTGGTGATCCATCACATCCAGACCCCTAATTCCAAGGACTGCAGGATCCCTGGGGCTCCTCAGCAGCTGTGCCGTCTGTATTTGCTGCTTAGTCGAGTATTTTGTAAACAGTGAGATTTATTATACAAAACAAAGATTTTAGGTTAACACAGTCTCAGCATTTTAAATATTTACAACCACCACCAGTTCTCTGCAGTGACTCTCACGTAGCAGCGTATGATGGTAAGTAGGTAACTGATAAAAAGAGCTGTGACAGAGCCGGTACTGGCCGTGCAGGGAGCTGTGGCACCGGGAGGCTCCGTTCTAGTTTGATAACATATCGTTAAGGCAACAGCCAGTCTGTGCATCCTTCAGCAGCGTATTTACCACGTCGTAGAACTTGTGATCATAAGCCAGCCTGTAGTAGGTGTAGATATCTTCACAGTAAGCCAGCAACTTCTTCAGGTTTTTCAGAGCAGCGTCGGTGGGTGGCCGTTGTTTGACTCTGAAAAAAATTGTACAGATATTTGAAATAGGCTGCCCAACAACAATGACAAGATTATCCTCCTATAGACATCCAAGAACATTTCTTACAAGAGGTTGTGCTCACCATGTACATGGGATTCTCTGGGTTGTTTAGTTTCCTGTGCTCTGTGCAGCCCTAAGGACAGACCCAGCTCAATAAGAATGGCAGATCCAGTGCTTTCCACAATGCACTTAAGAAACAGAACACGGATCTCAGGTCCCCGTACACTACATTGATCACATAAAAGGTTTTAACAGTACTGAGACCTGTGTGCTATTAAACAGGCAGTTGCTCCTCTAAAGTCACCTGTGGAAAAGGCAATTCCAGTTTGACCACAGCACTACTCACTTCTTGGCGATCTCCTCGAATAAGCCGGGCTTCAGCGGTCGTTGTTGTTTAAATTCTTCTAAGTAGGTGAAGTCTCCCTTGGTGATCACTTGTTGATACAGAACTTCAGCCCAATCTGGAACAAACTCGTAGGCCTCAGCCACAATAGCTGCCTGCAGGGAGAACAGACGCTGGGATCACTGAGCAGGAGGAGCTGATTCTTGCACAGAAACATTCCCAGGCTGAGTACTGAAAATATTCCCGGTGTTCTGTTTGGCCCATCTCTGGATGCTGCTCTGGAGAGCAGGGGTGTTACAGAGAGGTGCAAGGGTAACAACATACCCCAAATAATGTTCCTTAACCCCTAAACAAGATGTCACAGGGAGGGCTGGTTGTTCTCTTTAAAAAGCCCTTTTCTTATTTCCAGGTTTACAAAATGATGATGCCAGTGCAGATCTCGGGGCTCCACTGTGGATTCACAGCAGCATGAGAGTCACTGGATGGCCAAGGTCCTGGCTGTGCCACGGCAGCAGCAATGACTGCTGAGGGCATCAGTCCACACCAGGATTGCGCTTGTGTCTCCAAGCCTGGTCACAT